GAGCAAGGCAGACCCCTCCTTTCAAGAATAAGGAGGAAGAAAGTAGTAATTCACTCAGGGAACTAGCTGACCAGTAGACTGGAAAAGACTCGGTCCTTGCCCTCAAGATCTTACAGAAAGTCCTCAAAGAGTTCCCCACACCCACTCCCACCAGTGATCCCAGCGATGACAGAGGTAAAGGAAAAGCTTTACAATGAACGTAGTGCAGATGGCCTCTGGGTCCTGAGGATACAGAGTAAACACATAGCCAGGTCTGGGTAGGACAGGGCAGGAACACTTTCCTATAGGATGTGATGCTGGAGCAGGCCTCACAAGGACAGAACGTACCTGGTGGGCCAGGTCATTTGGGGCATCGCAGGTGTGAGGGAGGTGGTGGTGTACAGGAGTGCATCGTAGCCAGGGAGGCAGCCTGAGGGGCTGATGGGAGCACGGTGGGAGCAGCATGACCTGGGGAGTGACACGTGCACGTGGCGTGTGCCGGGCAGGGGGCTGTCTTGCCTGGGGGATGGCATGGGTGACCATATGGAGGAGACATTAGAACATGAACCCTTCCTAGTCATGTCGTGGAACCTATGAACAAGTGGGGACTCTTTTCCGTCTACGTGGAACTGTCCCTACCCCTTTTGAGATCAGAAGCAGTGTTATCTCCTTTTGCTCTCTAGCTCTCCCAAGCCACAAGCCTCTGGTGCTTCTCCCTGCCTTTCTCACATTCTTCAGTCCTTTCAAGGCCCGTGACAGCCCACCCTCTGCGACAGCCCACCCTCTGCGACAGCCCACCTTCTGCTTCCTGCCCCCTCATTTGTTCTTCATTTCCTGTCCACTTTCTCTCCCGATTCCTCTTTGTCGCTCTCTTTAGTGGCTCCACTTCCCCAGTGCATTTCTTAGTTCTCCTTTTCAGGCCCGCTCACAAACCCCAGGTTTACCGTGCCGTTATCCAGCTTTGCACAGACCTGTCCCCAAGCCTTATTTCCAGTGTTTCCCAACCTCGCCCTTCCCCCTAATTTGCCCCACTCTGTTTCCATTGCTTATGTCATAAGCACAATTTTATCCCCTACAGGATTTTTGTAATAACAAAATACTGGTCGCTGAGTGGAATATCAATAAATGACTGGTTAAATGAATTATTTTTTATCTCTACAATGAAATATTATGCAACTGTAAAAAGAATAAAGAAGCTCTTTCTTCAATGATTAGAAATCATCTCCAAGCCATGTTGTTCAGTGAGAAAAACAAAGCACATTGAATTGAGTGTTCAACCTTTTGTGTAAGGAAGGAATAGAAATGAATAGGTTCTTGGAACTGTGGCGAAATGATGTCTAATAAAACCAATTTGACCATAAGCTAATTGATATAAGCAAGAGTTAAGTTCCTATGGCAGCGTTATAACAAAATGACATTGAAAAAAATAATATTATTCAATGACCTGCTACATATTTATATTTGCTTGTATTTGCTGTGGGCAGCATCGTGAGAAACTAATAGGTGGTTACCTGTAGGATTGTGGTAGGGGAATGGACAGGTACCATGGGGAAGGGAGCAAGACTGTTCACTGTATGCCCTTTAATATTTTTTGTTATTTGTGTAACCGTGTGTACGCATTGCCTGTAAAAAATAATTGCATTTCTTTTGTGTCTTAGGGATGTAGTAATCCCACCTCCCACCCTTTTAATTGTTTGTGTATTTATGTATCTATTTCTTCTCTTTTACAGGAATACCTGCTTATTTACATACATATATTTCTCTGCACGAAAGATGTTTGGTAAGTGGAGCCTTCTGTTACATCAAAATATTTTGGGAAGTATGTTTAGGGCTCAATAGAGCTGGGAGCTTAGGGAGAATATTGCTGTGGCACAGAGACAGGCAGTGACTTGCCCAAGTTATCTTGTTAGTAGGTAGGGGACTTTGGAGTTCACCCTCTAAGCACTGTGCTGAGTAGCCTACCCTGCTAAACTGAGCGATGTTAATTGCACCTGATCTGAGCTCCTTGTTCCTTCTTGTATCAGTAGGATAGTCTAGGTTATGTTGTGATAACAAACAACTTCAGATGTCTTTGTTGGTCACAATAGCAAATGTTTATTCTGCTCCCATTGTTTGTCTACTGTGGGTCAGTTGTGTCTCTGCTCTTTCATATCTTCGTTTAGTCCCAGCTAATGGGGCGGCCTCTAACTGGGATACTGGGGAATGGGTATGGTACATTGTGGTCAGAGTTCATTGGCCAAAGCAAGTGTCAAGGTCAAGCCTGCTGTCAGCAGGATAGGAAAGGATTCTCCTCCTGCCAGGAGGGGCAGTGATTTAGTGAACAATAATATCATCTACCACAATGCCGAACTTCAATCCGGAAGTATAAGATTATGTGTGTTTAAAAAAAGGGTAGGGCCGGCCGAGTGGCGCGATGGTTAAGAGCTGGCTTGGGACGCCAGAGGGCCCCGGTTCGGATCCCACATATGAAGGCCAGTGACACTGC